CATAATAAGTTACAAAAGATATAACATTGCAAGACACCCAAAAAAAAAAAAAAAAAAAAAAAAAAAAAAAAAAAAAAACCTTAAAATAAAACAAAATTCATAAAACACAAACCAAAATATTATAAAAAATAAGATTTCATTAACTTTGTCATTACATACTAGATACATTAAACTACTAACTTATTTACATCATACTAACACCAAAAAACTAATATAAATTTCCTAAAGCAGAACAACTAATTCATAAAAAAAAAAACCCCCAAACAAAAACATACACAAATACTATCCGAACTGCCTAAACCTAATATCTCTTATCCCAACTATTACTTAGGCGAATTAAATCCGTATTCATCAGAATCTTCATCGGATATTTCAGGAGAATGATAATGATATGGGTAACCATCATCTTCTTCGGAGCTGACATCCCACTCCCCTGGTTCCATCTCTTCTTCTTCATCATCCTCTTCTTCTTCATCCTCCTCTTGCACCTCATCCTATTGTACTTGATCATCCTCCTCCTCCTCCTCATCATGTTCGTCTTCATCTTCTTCCTCCTCCTCCTCCTCTTCGACTTCATAAACCTCCTCTTGTCCTTCTTCTTCAAGCTGCACCTCCTATTGAACCACCAGTGGTTCATGATGAACCACCACAAGTTCCTAATCAATTACCACCCCTTGCACTTATTCAACAACTTGACCACGTACCTCCACAATAAATTGAACTTTTTCCTCATCTGAGCTGAACTCCATATCAACTACACCACCCTCGACATTAGCAACCCTTCCACCCTCAATCCCAGCCTTCACCGCAGACGTCTCGCCTACAGCAACCTTCGACAAAAACGCCCTAAACTTAGAACCAATTTCCACCCCATCATCAATGTCACTATCAATTTCAATGACAGCGACACAATCACTATCAACACTTACCCTCTTACGCGCTGTTTTTTTGTTCAAATTTCCTACACTGAGATAATTCGGCCTCCAATTCAGCCAATTCTCACCGTAATTCATGACATTTTTTATCAGCCTCTGTACGCACATGCATATTCGCGGCTAATTGATCTTCAAGATTAGATTTTTTCTTAGCCAACGACTGAAGATACATGTTTTGATGTTCGTTATCAACAACAGGAACTTATATGAAGAGGCACCATTAAATCTGGCCATTTTAAGCAAAAGATTGAAATTCAAGAGGAAAAAAAAATTATTTTTCAGAAAACAGCGTAAGAGACAAGCTTTTAGAGAATATTTGAGAAAGAAAACCACTTAATCAGAGGAAATAATAGCAATCAAAACTCATTCTATCACTTCTATGCACTACTAGAAAATTGGTCTTGTATCAGAAATTTATCTATACTAAAGGTATACTTTCCGATACCAAAGGTCATTAGTATCAGAAATAATTTCTGATATTTAACCAATACTAGTACCTTCGTGGCTAATGTGTCACTACAAGAAAATTATCTTTTCGTAGCGATTATTTCGTAGCGATTGAACATTTGCTACAATATGCACATGTGTTTGTAAAATAGTAGAGAAATTCGTATCATTTTACAATCGACATAGTAAACCCATATGAAATCGATACGAAAAACATAATAATATTTATTTACCTTTTTTCTGCACATTTATAAAATTATGGAAAAGCGTATCGTTTACAATCGCCACTAAACCAAAAATCTATACGAAAAGCCTTTTTCATACTAGATTTTAAAATTTTGTTTGATAAAGAGAACATAAAATTTATCATAGCTTATTAGATAAAATTTTCATATTAGAGCTTGAGGTTGCATGTTCGAATCTTGTATAGATCATATGTAGAGTTTTTTTTTTTTTTTTTGGTAGAAAATGAGTTCAACATTTGTAGCGATTATAATCTCTACAATAATCACCGTGATTGAATGTAGTTTTTCGTATCGATTAATGAGGACAACCCCAGCAAAAGCGAAAAACACTACTAAAGGCTATGGTAACGGCGGATATTGTATCGAATAACCATTCTTTGGGATTTTTTTTTTAGCAATTACAATCAATACAAAATGTTAAAATAATCTCTATACGAAAAGGTATTTTTCTTGTAGTGTGTTGTATCGGATTTTTATTCCGAAACTAAAAGGGGTGCCTATAGTCGGATATATCAATAGCATCAGATAATTAGTAACTGAAATTCTGATACAAATATCATGTCCTGTGGTATCAAAAATTATTCAGTTACTATATATATATATACTATGGTGTCGGAAATAATTGATACAAAAGACTTGGATCTTTATTATCAGATTGGTTTTTGATACAAAACAACCGCTATAGTGTCCGAAATTACTGATACTATAATTATTCCTAGCTTTGGAAAATCTCTTTAGTATCGGAAATTTCTGATATTTATGATTAACTTTAGTATCGGAAATTTATGATAATAATGTTTAAATACTAGAGACTATTTAGTATCAAATCCTCTAATCTGAATTATTATTAACTAAAGAGCCTTGTTCAACTAATTTATACATATTCAATATAAAATACATAATTCAAATACTTGTACAAAATAAATTTTATTTATATTTGTACACAATTTTACATAAAGTAATTCTAATACAAAAAGCTATGCCTATATGCTTGTAGTACAAATTACATTCTACATTATCAAAACCACCATTCAAGATATATAGTTGTATTTTTTTTAACTTAAGTATACAGTGGTTATATGATTTCCAAAAAGCTATACACATGCATCAACAATCTTCAAACTTGGACATTCCGCATCATCAAAAATTTCAATCTGTTAACGGAAATGAGAAAAACCATCACATGTTGATTATATAAAGCCTATAACAACAAAATGAACATTTTAAGCTTCACAATGAAAGCATGCAATACATAACCACATCCGACAAGGACACAAGCTTTAAGAATTAAACAGTACTATATATTATATATAGTCAATATAGACAAAAGATCCAACAAGGACAAGGTTCTCAGGGCATATCTATTATTTTGGATACAAGTGGAAATTTATAGTTAACTTCATTGTGATATGCAACTTTTTGTTCAGTGTAGCTTGTGCTTTCAACTTACAAGAAATAAGCCACAAAACACTTGGCGTTTGCTTGTATAAAAATTATGATCCACCCATTTCCAAGTAACCAAACCGATTGAATAGTTTGACAAATCTTGTGCCTAAGTTGCAAAATATAAATGTTCTTTAAATTACTCCAACACTAGGATAATGATTACAAAAATGAAGTAGTGTAAGAAGTATAATTGACCAAAGCAGCGCCAATTTTATTATTTCAGGGTTAAAATCGTAAAGGAAAATTTAACATAAACAAACCAACCTTTGAGAGGTTCTCATATAATGGACCAGCCTTTAAATCTTCCCAAATAAAACACAAGTTTCATTTTATCTCCCAAAATGAACCCAAATGGCCGGTGACCTGTACATGATAACACATTTATATATTCATTTTATATGTTATATTTGCGGGTTTTTATCATGTTTTCTACATACTTTTAATCTTTTAGAGCTATTATTCTTTATATTTCGATATTGCTCTTCTTGGTTTGTTTTATTTTGATTTTTGTAGGAATTGGGCTAGATTTGCTAGAGGTTTGCTTTGATCGTGATTCGACTTGTTAAAGGGAGAAATTTACATACAATAATGGACATGGAAGCCACCTCCACGGCATGCCTGTGGGCGTACAACTCTCTCCACGGCCATCTTGTGGCCAACTCGTTTTCACATGGCAAAGAGCAGCTATGGCAGCCTTCTCCACGGCCTGCCTGTGGTCGAACACGGCTCTCCACAGCCTACTTGTGGTGGCTCCTAATTGCTGCGTTTTAGGACCTTAATTATGTTAATTTAGAGTCCTAAACCCACTAAAATTCCTAGGATATATATAGACTACTAACAAGATAGAAAAGGGGGACTTTTATCATCACAATTATTCCAATTTATATGTAGGTTTTTCTTCTTGTTCTTCCAACTTTGTTCCATTGAAGATTAATTCAAGTTCTCCATTTATTCAAGTATTTCTTCTTCTCTTTATTTCTTATTATTATTGTTATGATGTTTTCTTCCGTTAATTATTTCGTTTATTTAATCAACATGTGTGAGTAGTTTTATAATCTAGGGTTAGGTTGAACCCTAATATGGATTAATACGTTGTTTGGTTCTCAATCCCATATCTAATTAATTTATAATTCCTCTTTATTAGGGTTGGTATTATTATCAATGATTAACTAGAAATAGTATTATTGAATGTGATTAGGTTTACAACGAAAGTTGATTCTTAAAAGTAAGAATTTTTATGCATGAAAATAGCTAATTATTCTTGCTAGGACTATTGGGATGTCGTTCTTAATGTCTTTAATATGTATGACTGCATGAAAATAGGTATGAGTACATATTAGGGAAGCTATTAGTTGATCGAAAGAAACTCTTAGTATTTGTTGTAGGGAGCACCCGTCCTGTGGAATATCTATTGATTTGATTGTGGGAAAGGGATTATTTTGACGTATTGATCTATATTAGTGGGGATTCCTAATTCTAGGTGTTTTTAGTTTATAATAATCTTCGTGGGTTAATTTATTTTCTTAATATTCCGTAATTAGTAGTTAATACTCTTCATCATTGAATTTGTTACTTGCTTAGTAATAACTTGAGTCTAAATAGTTATAGGTGAACCATAGTCTCTGTGGGATCGACCTGACTTACCCTACTACATAGTTAGGAGGATTAGTTAGGTTATTCTTGCTAGGTGTGCGACCGCCTATCAAATTTTGGCGCCGTTGCCGGGGACTAACGGTTTCATTAGATTATTTGTGATTCGTTTTTGCTAGGCTTATTTCGTTTTTTCGGCTATTTTCTCTTGTGTTTTTTATACTCTTTCCCTAGTTTTCTTGTTGCATGCCCACACGACTAACGGTTTCATTAAATCGAAGCAACCGCAAGAAGACGGGCAGGTAGAAGAAGAAGGAGAAATCAAACCAATAAAAACATGGTAGAGCAACCAACGAAATCCCTTTTGGAGTACGGTATTCCTGATACGACTACCGGAATCCTTTCTAGCATCGTAAGATCACATGTGACGGCTCAGCACTTTGAGCTCAAGCCGCAATTCATCCAGTTCATCCCCAATGATTCATTTGCAGGGCTACCACATGATTGCCCGGTAAGTCATATTGATAGTTTTTTGGAGAAATGTGATACTATGAAGATGAATGGTGTTACAGATGATGCAATTAGACTACGCCTTTTCCCCTTCTCATTACGGGATAGGGCAAGGGAGTGGTTGAGAGATGTAGGCACTGGCTCATTCGATACGTGGGACAAGCTAGTGAAGGCCTTCTTAGTGAAGTTTTTGGGGCAAGAAAAGACTACTAGGCTGAGGAATGAGCTATCCACCTTTAGACAGTCAGATGACGAGTCTCTCTATGAGGCTTGGAGAAGGTTTAAGAGGCTACAGAGACAATGCCCTCATCATGGCATTCCAAATCGAATTTTAATGCAAACCTTCTATAATGGCATGACTCATGAGTTCCGGATCTATATTGAGGCTGCGTCAGGAGGCTCTCTCTTGACAAAGAACCTTACTGAAGCAAAGGAGCTCATAGAGAAGATGGAGGCCAATGATAACTATCATCCAGGAGGCCGACATACTGTGAAAAAGGGAGGTAAGCTTGATGTAGATGCTTTGACTATGCTAACCAGTTCTGTGCAAGCACTAACAAGCAGGTTTGATAAGTTCCAAGCGGGAGCTTCTACTAGCCCACAGGAGCTGTGTCAATTGTGTAATGTGCAGGGTCATATTGCACCAGACTGTCCGCAGATTTCGCAGAATACAAAGGAGATGTCAATCGAGCAGGCAAATGCTTTCTACTCCTCTAACCCAAAAAGGCCTTACGACCCCTATTCCAACACCTATAATGAAGGATGGAAGAACCACTCCAACTTCTCATACAAGAACTCCCAAGCACAGCAAAATCCACCACCACCACCTCAACCCAACAACTACAACCAACCACCACCTGGCTTCCAACAAAGACCACCTATGAGCCAACAACCAATGCAACTACTTCCCCAAAAATCTAGCCTTGAGTTGATGATGGAGAGCTTCATTACCACAACCAATAGTGTCATCCAACAGTTGCAAGCCTAGAGTAAGCTCATGGAAACCCAAATAAGTCAACTGTCACAACTGGTGAGTCGCCTATCAACTCTTCACGATCAAGCGAAGGTCCAAAAAGAGCAATGTAATGCTGTTTTCTTAAGAAGAGACGAACCATCTCCGAAGAAATTAGATGGGAAGGTGTGTAGTGTGGAGTCTAGAAAAGATAAAAAGGTCGAAGATGTTCAAGGTGCCAAATATGTTGCTCCACCGGCTTATGAGGAACCGATGCCTTTCCCGCAACGATTGTCAAAAGCCGTGCTCGATAGACATTTTGGCAAATATTGCGAAGCCCTTAAGAAGGTACATGCTTCTACTCCCTTTTCTGATCTTTTAATTCAAATGCCTCAGTTTGCAAATTTTGTGAAGAATATTAAAGATCAACACGAGGATTAGGAAGTAGCACATAAGAAGGGTCCTACTCTCTTATATGATAACCTACCCCCTAAGCTGCATGATCCTGGTAGTTTCACTATTCCTTGCACGATAAGCGAGAAATTTTTCGACAGGGTTTTGTGCGATTTAGGTGCTAGTGTTAACCTAATGCCCTATTCATTATATGAGACTTTAGGCTTGCAAGGACTTAAACCTTCCCCTATTTCTCTTCAATTGGATGATGGGACCTCTAGACTTCCTAAGGGTGTGGTTGAAGATGTTTTAGTTATGGTGGGTGGACTTGTCTTCCCTGTTGATTTTGTGGTTATGGATATGAAGGAAGATTGTAAGATCCCGATCATACTTGGTCGACCATTCCTAACCACGGGTCAAGCCCTAATAGATGTTCCCGAAAGACAAGTTGTCATTAGGGCCCATGATAAACAAGTCATGCTCAAGATTTTTTATGAACATAACTCTATGTTTGATGGTGGTACCTGTTTGAGAATCGATGCTACTAACCCTCTGTTTGATAAGTATGTGTATGATAGGAATTTTGTGAGAGGAAAGGATAAAGTTCCACCTGATGGCATGTTTGGCTACATGAAGGTGAATTCGGTTACAAGGCAAGTGAATAATCCAATGAAGGAGTCGCTTGGAGGCAATCATGGACAACATCGCAGACCTCCTTCTCCGTGTAGTGATCCCGGTTGAGCCAACAAGGGAGGTCAAGCTAGACGACCTTAAACTAGCGCTTCTTGGGAGGCAACCCAAGTTCTCTAATTCTGCTTTATTTTATTTTTATTTCTAGATTAGCTAATAGTAATAGTAATGAGGTTTTTACAGGAGGAAGTAATGTAATGGCAGAGGAAGCAATTTACCCATACAACTTCATGGTACAGCAAGCTCCGCAAGCAACCTGCAGCCAAAGCAGCCAGCCACTGGGTAGTTGAAAAAAGAAAAAAAAAGGGTGAGAAAACAACCAAGGCAGCATGTTCCACAGGCTGGCCGCGGTCCAAGCAAATAGACCACAGCCCAGCCGTGGTGTATTCTGTTTTCACAGCCCTCTAAAAAAAAAAAAAAAAAAAGAGACTTTCGGTTCCTCCAGAATTGCTGCCCCAGAATCAGTCGGCTCTTCCTTCGCCCAACACCACCGGAATTCGACCACGAAACTTTAGATTTTTCGTAGCAAGATCGCCGGAATCACACTCCCTTGAAGCCTCGGTTGCCGGAGCTGTTGTGTATCGGTGATGAACCTGCAAATCTGCTGACTTTAACAAGCAAAATTGTCCAGTTTCTTGGCCACAAACACGCTGGAATTTGAGCAACGACATCTACGGAAAACCACCTGCGAAGCTGCCGGATTTCGCAGCGATTTCAGCCGTTTCTTGAGCAGCGAACTCACCGGAAATAGCAGCGAAACCACCGGTTTCTTGAGCACCAGCGAAATCACCGGAGTTCCCAGCGATACTCGTCGGATTCAAGCTCGAATTTGACGAATCTTGATCTACGAAAATACGGCTAGACTTAGATTCAAATATTGCTGGAATTTCTGCTCTTGAAATTGTTGTATCGGGATTTTCATTCTCGAAATTGCTGTTTGTTGGGCTATTCAATCTTTGTGATTGTTAGAGAATTCTCTTTTTGGAGTTGGACTTGTGGGAGATTTACAATAGGCAGTGCGTTGGACTTGTGTGGTATATTATAAATGGGTCTACAAATCCTCCTTGCTTCTCTCCATGATAAGGCTTTGTGAGTATTTTTTTTCCCTCTTTTAATCATGTTATATTTATTGCATTATGGACATTGCAATTTTCAAGTGTGGGGGAGGGATATCACCTTTTGTAAATATTAGGTTTATTTTTATTTGTTAGTCTAGAGTGTTTTGTCTTAGTGTCACCTTTTGATTTTCCATTCCAATATGCATATCAAGTAATTTTCGAAAAAAATGATATCTTCCACAAACTTTTCAATAATTTAGCATAAATCCTATTGATGACAATGGTTTGTGGCCAGGATGGTCTCCCCGCTCTACTTATGTGAATAGTTTGTGTACCCGGTGAGATTTTTGAGCCATATTTGACTGATTTCACTCTATCTTAGTCGTGTTTCTTCATGTGTGATTAGTTGTCATTCACATAATTGAATTCTTGGTCTTGCTTTTTGACTGTTAGAGACTTGAATGATGCATGTTGCGAAAAAATGATTGAAATTTCCTTGTAGAGAATAGAGCCTCCACATTCTAGGCCTACATATTTTTTTTTTCATTCACCCGTAGGTTGAGCCAATTTGAGTCGTGATTTAACCCCTTCTTGATACCCTACGTTTAAAGCCATAGAGCTATTTTCCTAGGTTTATTTTGAAGGTGCATTACACTTGTTAAAGCCCTGTGAGTGATGTATATCAAAAAAAAAATGAAAAAAAGACAAAGAGAAAGAAGGGAATTGATTTATTAGAAGCAAGGAAGGAAGAAAAGAAAAGAAAGAAAGAAAGAAAAAGATTTTTAAAAGTCTTCCTAATTCCTAATTTGCTATGAGTCCCTTTCTTTTTGTGAAAAAAAAAACAAAGAAAAAAGAGAAAAAAGTATGATTGAAAAAAAAAAGAAAAAAAAAGGAAAAAGAAAGAAATAAAAGGGTTATGCTTATTTTGTATGAAGTTGGAGGAAATAAGGTTGGCTTGAACCCGACATTTGAATGTGTAGTGGGATTAGGATTTGTTATATGTTTTGAGCACCACATTCCCAAATTACGTCGTCCAACCCTTGATTACCAAGCTTACCCTTATTGGATTTCATGATTTTCGTAATTGCATCAATCATTAGAAGTGGAGAAAGTCACTTTGCAAGCCTAAAGAGGCCAATTCATGTGAAGTTGACATGCATTCTATGATTAGGTTGAGTGACATCATATTTCACCCCGTAAACACATGAGCGTTATTTGTTTTTACTTTTCACAACTAAAGTGAGAGCTATTCATGTTTGTGTGAGTTGGTATGGGGAGATGTGTGGTAAGATTGATTGGTCATTAAAAAGGTGCTATGCATTATTGTTTCATCCATATTATTGATTTGTGATAAAAACGATATTCCTATTTTTGTTTTTTCAAATTAATCACTTGGTTGAGCAATTTGGTTTGGAATTTCATGACTAGGCTTTGTAGGTACGCCTTCTCAAAACCTTCATGAGACCTTACTCGTCCACTAGGGTAGCCTAGGGGTTTAAAGGGCTTGTTGCATACGCTAAATGCAATCGTGATTCCTACGACAGTGAGTATTAAGATTTTATTGTTTTCTTAGAGTGGTTCTCTTATTTTGTCTTGTTTACTCGAGGACGAGCAAAGGTTAAGTGTGGGGGAATTTGATAACACGTTTATATATTCATTTTATATGTTATATTTGCGGGTTTTTATCATGTTTTCTACATACTTTTAATCTTTTAGAGCTATTATTCTTTACATTTCAATATTGCTCTCCTTGGTTTGTTTTATTTTGATTTTTGTAGGAATTGGGCTAGATTTGCTAGAGGTTTGCTTTGATCGTGATTCGACTTGTTAAAGGGAGAAATTTACATACAATAATGGACATGGCAGCCACCTCCACGGCTTGCCTGTGGGCGTACAACTCTCTCCACGGCCATCTTGTGGCCAACTCGTTTTCACATGGCAAAGAGCAACTATGGCAGCCTTCTCCACGACCTGCCTGTGGTCGAACACGGCTCTCCACAGCCTACCCGTGGTGGCTCCTAATTGCTGCGTTTTAGGACCTTAATTATGTTAATTTAGAGTCCTAAGCCCACTAAAATTCCTAGGATATATATAGACTAATAACAAGATAGAAAAGGGGGACTTTTATCATCACAATTATTCCAATTTATACGTAGGTTTTTCTTCTTGTTCTTCCAACTTTGTTCCATTGAAGATTAATTCAAGTTCTCCATTTATTCAAGTATTTCTTCTTCTCTTTATTTCTTATTATTATTGTTATGATGTTTTCTTCCGTTAATTATTTCGTTTATTTAATCAACATGTGTGAGTAGTTTTATAATCTAGGGTTAGGTTGAACCCTAATATGGATTAATACGTTGTTTGGTTCTCAATCCCATATCTAATTAATTTATAATTCCTCTTTATTAGGGTTGGTTTTATTATCAATGATTAACTAGAAATAGTATTATTGAATGTGATTAGGTTTACAACGAAAGTTGATTCTTAAAAGTAAGAATTTTTATGCATGAAAATAGCTAATTATTCTTGCTAGGACTATTGGGATGCCGTTCTTAATGTCTTTAATATGTATGACTCCATGAAAATAGGTATGATTACATATTAGGGAAGCTATTAGTTGATCGAAAGAAACTCTTAGTATTTGTTGTAGGGAGCACCCGTCCTGTGGAATATCTATTGATTTGATTGTGGGAAAGGGATTATTTTGACGTATTGATCTATATTAGTGGGGATTCCTAATTCTAGGAGTTTTTAGTTTATAATAATCTTCGTGGGTTAATTTATTTTCTTAATATTCCGTAGTTAGTAGTTAATACTCTTCATCATTGAATTTGTTACTTGCTTAGTAATAACTTGAGTCTAAATAGTTATAGGTGAACCATAGTCTCTGTGGGATCGACCTGACTTACCCTACTACATAGTTAGGAGGATTAGTTAGGTTATTTTTGCTAGGTGTGCGACCGCCTATCAGTACAACCGGTCATTATTTTTTTTTAATTTTTCTTTAACTATTTTTTTTAATTAAAAACCTTTATAAAAAAAAAGTTACAAAAAAAAAAAAGAATCAACCCCTCTACCTCCTCCAATCTCCCACGTGAACCTGTCCCCACCACCACCGGAACCCCATATAACTACCTCTTCCCCGCCGGAGCAAACCCCCTTCTCCATTGGCCCCACTCCCTTTGCTTCTGGAGCAAACCGAACCATTCAACCAAATCGCTTTCGGGTAGGAAAGAAGTGGGTCTTTGGATCTTAGTGGTAGTGGGGTGGGTTGGTATGGTGGTTTCGTTGGTTGTTATGGTTGTTGGTGGTGTACATAGGTGGTGGTGTAGTGGGTGGAAGTGATAATGGTGAAGGTTAAGGTGTAGGTGGCGAAAATTACGGCGGCGTTGAAGGTCGCTGGCCCCGGGGGAATTGGTTGGGTGCCGGCCGCTGGTAGGGGAAGTGGTGGCTGGCAGTGGTGGGAAAGGGTGGTTTATGTTTTTTTATTCTTTTTTTTTTGTAAAAATTATCAAAAAAAAAAATAAACTTGGCGAATGATTTAATGACAAGTGGATTTTTACCTGGTATAACAGGTAAGGTGACCTGTTGGGTTCATTTTGGGAGAAAAAAATGAAACTTGTGTTTAATTTGGGATGATTTAAAGGTTGGTCCATTATGGATGAACCGCTCAAAGGTTGGTTTGTTGTTGTTAAATTTTCCAATCGTAAATTCACTCTAAAAATTCATGTAGGAAGTGTAATTGACCAAGGAGGTATAAGGTGAGAAACTTCCTGTGTATCGTACAACTATTGAGATTTCCCAAGGAAATGTCATTGCCTACATTTTACAAATTACAAGGCAACCAAACAACCCATGAAAATTGAAATTCATGGGACTTTTCATTGCCCATAGGAATTTGTGGTAACCAGACAAGCTCTTAGACGCCATTGTTTTGCTGGTGTTGCTAGGTAATTTTTATTTATTTATTTAAGAAAGGTAATTTATTTCGTT